GCCCTTCGCGAGGTGCTGCGACCTCAGGAAAAAGGGTGTAAAACCACAAACAGCTGCGGCGTCCTCAGCCAGAGGGCTGAAGTGAGCAAGTAACAAAATCACTCGGCAGTCTGTATGTGTGGGAGATGATACACTAATTCTTTTTAATTATTTGAAGTTTGAACTACTAATATTCGTATTTAAAGCTGTATCTTGAGGAGAAGTTAGACTTGCTTTAAGGGCTTTCAGGTTCTACTTAAAACTGTTAAAAGTGACAGGCAGCATCAGAATATTGTAAAGCCAAACTGGTGAATGTTAACTTAAAAAAATAATCAGACTGATTAATTAACAGCCAAGATATTTAACTTCTGCTGGTGAACCCTGGTGTACAGCCCTTCCAAGAACTTCTTTTAGTTTTGCTTTAGGAAATAAGTTTTAAAATAATGATTCTTAAAGACTGTCGTCTAACAGGGTGTCCGGTCAATATCAGACAAGATTGTGATGTAAAAAATGGTTTCCTTATCAAACTAATACCTGGAAACAGGAGGAAAAACTGCTAAGAATACCCAATATTCATGTAAAATTAAATATTTTAAATATAAGTATTTATGAATTTGAGATTTTAGAATCTAAGTTTGCGAAAGGAGATGCACCGGGTTCTGCTAAATGAATGGTGTGACCAAATTGCTGTTTGAAACCATGCAATTTAGTAAACGGGTTCCAATCATTTGGGCGTGCTCTTGGGAAGAAAAAACCCTCTTTTAAAGTATTTAAACATAATGCAAAGATGACATGCACACAGGATTATCCTTTAAAAAGCTGTGCAGCAGCTGAAATAATGAGTCTTGTTTTTAATCCCTTTGCTTTACAATTGGAAGAGGTATCACAAAGTTCTGAAATTCAGGTTTTCTTAAAAGTTACTCTTTCACTGGTTTGGTTTGACATTGGGTTGTCGTATTTTAGACTGATTAGTTCACCTCGGCGTTTTTGACAGCGATGAATATTTGGTGTTTCTCTGCACATCTTAATCCGTATGGAATGTAAGTAACTTATTTACTGAGAGGAAACGTTGGTATTATGTGGCTCAGGAGAGACAGGGTTTTAACACATCCAGCATCGTGTTTATAATGTGTGGGTTAAATTTATTCAGCTGTTCTTGCCTAGATCCCCTGGTATTTTAAATATCTCTGTTCTTCCTACTTCTGGAAAATCCTGATATGCAAAAGGTGCCATGGCACCAGGTAAATTGTCATTAGATGATGTGAGAGAGAAACCGAATGAGAGGGCAGCAGAAAGCGGAGGAACCGTTCTGATCACGGAGATGACCCAGCACTGCTGGAGCGAGGACGAGGCACATCTTCATCCCAAAGTCACCGCACTGGGATTTGTTAAGTTAAACCTGGGACGTGTTGATGTTAAAAGCAATGCTGTACCGACGTCAGTCTGGCTGGTAAGAAATAAATTAACTTTGGTTGAAGAGCGTTTGTTCTGCGAGTGACTGCACGGGCTCGGCTCTGAGAACCTGATCCGCCGACCGGGATTGGAATTTTCAGGTTGTTATGGAAGGATGGCAAGAGGTTGTTGCAGGAGAAGAATTGGAGATGGCGTGGGCACACCTGAGCTGGTAGTTAGTTTATTGAGTTCTAATCAGTGAATTTAGGTATTTCATAGGTATTTAATTATTTAGGTATTAAAGTATTTAATAAGTGCAGATGGATTGGTGGTCAGTACTGCACTGAAATCATCAGTATGGGACACAAAGATCATCACCTACGCTTACCCTACCTCTCTTAAATGGTAAAAGCATGCAAACAACGTCACTTATTGAGCCGTGGGTGGCTGGTGTCAGGGACGGGCTGTCTTGGCCACGGGGGGTGACCTCGAGGGGTGTCCTTGCGCGAGGGGAGATTGCTGCAGTGCAGCAGCCGCGATGGAGGGAGAGCTGGAGGGTCCCTGACAGCGCAGAGCTGGGTCGTGTCAAGCGGCTGATTCCAGTCGGTTTTCTGCTGTTTCTGCAGTTCCAGTTGTTTCCCAGGCTCCAGCCAAGGTGGGGGTTGGGGGTTTTTTTGTGCTTAGGTGCTGAGTTCTCGCTGAGACCCCCACACACCAGGATTAACTTTGGTCAGGCCTAACTGCTGAGCATCTGCCTCACCAAAGCTCAGGGGGTTCAGCCAGGAGTGGATCTGCCACAGATGCCGAGACTGAAGTTGCTCTGAGAGAGAAGTGACGGTTGTGTTGGACAAACCAAGGGACAATCGGTGCAGTGAGGCTGAAGTGCTGGATTTTTTTCCCTGCAGGTACCTGGTTAGTTACAAGCTCTGCGCTGCCAGAGAAAGCTCAACCAGTTCAGTGTCTGCACTACACATCTTGGGGGTCTGACTGGACTATTTATTCCTACTCTACACATTCCTTGGTGCTGATGCCAGTAACACACCCCTGAGTATCCCGACTGTCAGTCTCGTGTCAGTCAGCTCTGTGGGGCAACATCTGGGCTCTGAATCAACAGCAAAAACAACTGGCACTTGCTGACAGCAGCTCTGGGGTTTGATGGCAGCTGGAGCAGCAGCCGCCCGGGCTGGGAGCAGCAGCGGAGCTGAGAGGGGCTCAGGGCCAAGGGGCAGCCGGGACCCTGGGGCCGCGGGTGTTGGTGTGTTTGTGCTCACACAGTGCAGCCCGCAGCAGGGGTTCAGCACCGACAGCTGCAGCAGCTGTGGTTGGTGGTGGATGTTGTGGTTCTGCTCTTCCCCACCACACCAGCTCAAACCACAGGGCTGGACCTCCCTCTGCTCGTGTCTCCCTGTCCCTACCAGGGCCTTTCACCCACCCAGACACAAACCCACCCCTGCCCTGAGCTGGTGGGTGCAGCTGATCCCCCCCAGCGGGACGGGGAGCTCCTGGGGTGCGCTGGTGCCTGCACCCTCCCTCACCCCACGCACCCTCCTGCTGACCATGTCCTGGCACCTACAGGCCGTGCAGCCTTTTGTTCTCTGGCTCTTGTGCTCAGCCACGGGCAGAGGGTCTCAGCTCCTGCTGAGGTGAAGGCAGCTGTGTTCTCTGGCCTTTCCCAGCCAAAGGGCTCCAGCTGTGAGCGGGAACAGGCTCTGATGTGTCGGTGCAGGTGAGCAGCTCAGCCCAGGTTTTGATTTCCACTTGGCAGCAGAGGTTTGGGGAAGTTCAGTACCAGGTCACAGAGCTCTTTGTGCCCTACTTAGAGACATGGAGAAAAAACAAGACTCCCACCCGCTGCTGTCGCTGCCAGAGCCCCCAAGGTGTGAGTGGAAGCGTTAAACCACCTGGAGAAACAGCAGCTCCCTCAAACCTGCGCATGGCCAGGGCACTTTGGGCGCTGAGCCTCAGCTTAGTGCCCTCACCCAGGGGTTTGCTAAGGGCTCCAAGACACAAAGGGTGCTGGGGTCTGAGCAGCCCCTGTGCGGTGCTGGTGCTGTGACGCCTGCTCCCTCAACAGCCACCCCCCACCTCCCCGTCCCAGTCCCACCGCAGCGGCTGCATGAACCACCCTGAACCAGGACCCACCACTGGGATGGGAGTCCCCCTGCCCTGGGGACAGGCCCAGCTCACTCACTGCCCTGGGAAGACGTGAAGGGAGGGACCACAGCCTCGGGTGTGAATAGAGGAGCACGGCAGCAATGGGTCAGCCCTCAGAAATCCTGCTGCAGGGTAAGGGGACAGCGAAGACACGGGACAGGCTTGAGGGGACCCCCTGCACCACACCCCATCACCAACCGTGACGTTCACACAGAGGGGAACCACTTCTTGGCCAACCAGTTTTATTATTCAAGTCCAAAGATGAAGCAGTCAGACGCTCACACTCGCAGCAGCAGCAGCCAGTGAAACAGGAGGCGCGACCCTGGACTGGGACTGGGCGGGAAGCGATGGCGACAGGTACCGGCAGCGGCTGAGGGCGGGCAGAGCAGCGCAGGGGCCAGGCACAGCCCTTCCTCCCGCCAGCGCTGCAGCTCCTCCTTCACTGCTCACAGAAATGAGTGTTCTCCTCTCCGGAGGCGGGTGACAGGAGGTAACGAGCCCTTCGCGAGGGGAGAAGCCTTCAGCCCCCACAGGCAGCGGCTGCACCCGCTGAGAGCAACC